CCCTTGCTGCTTGCATCCACATCTAGTGTTGGTCGATCACAAATATCTCTCATATCTTTTCTTGCGTTCAAGTTATCTTTTATTTTTCCAGTGACATCCATCACAGTATTTATGACATTGTCGAAAACATTCTTTTCTATGTGCATGACGTCAAGATTATGATGAATAAGATGGGCCTTCCCATATGGTAGATCCCAAAATATACTATGTTTTGTCCACTCATGTGTACTTCCGTACGCAAAAGTCGTGTCGTGAGAGTTCTGAACAACAGTTGGAAACTCCTGCACCCGCTCCCAAATTTGATCGCCGGTCAACCTCAATGGTGGACGTGTTCTTTCAGTCCTATTCTTCATGAATTCTTTTTTATTCCTTCTGAATGTATGATTTATCGGTAAAAATTGTCTGTGACAGTCAAAATAGCTGGGCTTCTTTCCATGTTTTAATCTAAATGACTTTGATCTCTTCAAACATATCGGACATCCTAAGATCCCAGCTGTACTCCATCCAGATAACATTCCGTAAGCTAGAAAGTCATTTATCGTCCAAAGAAGAGCAGCCTTCATTACAAATGTTTGATCGGTAGAAACATCATATGTAAGGATACCTTCCTCCCATAGCCGTTGTAACTCTTCAATCAATGGTTGCATAAAATATCTATTAACTTTTTCGGATTTTACGGGCCAGGCACAATCAATGTCAAAAACATATAAGATGTCTTCATGCACATACCAGGTGGGAGATTGTACGGCGTTAAGATAACTAGCCAACATGAATAACTTTTTCCTGATTTCCCAAATGGGGCAAATCCATCAGCACAAAGACCTAACCTAATGTTTCGAGGCTCTATCGCAAACTCAGGGTACGTTCTATCAAAATGCTTCCATGCCTCTGCATCTGAAGGATGACACATTAGATCCTCTTCTGTTTCATGATTTGCATGCCAAGTCATGTGTTCAGCTGTGGCTTGAGACGCATAAAGCCTTTGCAATCTGGGGATTAAGGGCAGATAAAACATTTGCTTGCATGGTCTACGCTTCTGATTACGACCCTGCCTCCTGTTAATCTTGTACCTAGGTTGGCTGCAGAATTTGCAAGATTCTCCATTTTCATCATCTCTCCAATATAACATACAACCCCTACTACATACATCAATCCTTACAACCGGAAGACCTAAGTTATCCACTAGCTTTTTCATATCGTAACAATCACTTGGCATGCTGTTATCACGAGGCATTATTTCCCGCATTACTTCAACAAAAGAGTTGGAGCAATCTTGCGACACATTATGCTATGCCTTGATATTTAACAGTCTTACTGTCACTGATAACTTAGTATGGTTGTCACAACCTGACCATAAAGGTTCATCTGCTGCTTTCAACACTTCCCAGAACTGATTAATGAAAAAGCTCCATTACACACATTCTCATCAAAACCCGTTACTCCTATCTCTTCCATTTGTGATGCATGACTAGTGCCCACTTGTTCATGTGTAGGAGTAAAACTAGTACTTGCATGGTTCGAATCTGAAACAAAATTCTGACCAGCTGCATCAATCACCATCCTCTCGTATGGGTTCAATTGGTCATAATAGCTACATTCTTCCCTAACTAAAAATTGTTTACTTCTTCGATATCCTTCATCAGATATAAATGGTTCACCATGGCAAGTCCAATTATAATAATTCGGAGTAAACCCAAATCTACAAAGATGTTCTCCAACTGTATCACGCACATGAAATTTACCATTACTGCACTTTCTACACGGACACCTTAACTTATTTCCATCCATGAACTCATATTTACTACTAGCAAAGTCTAAAAATAGTTCCAACCCAGTAAGAAACTCATCGGTCAATCCTTGACGTCCAGGTAAGTTCTTATTATACATCCAAGCCCTGTTTCTTTGCATTATGCCTGTATTAAAATAAAAAAATCTCGTAAAATATTTCAAATATCATATCTACTGTTGTTAATTAAAAAAAAATTATGAAAATTAAAATTTTGTTTTTCAAGCAACAATTACTTTGAAATTTTAAAAAATGAAAAAATTACCATGAAAAGAAGACTTACCCAGATATTTGACTGAAATCTTGGTAGCAGAAAGTGGTCAATTTGAAGAGAATTGCGAGACCTTCCATCGGACACGTACCTAAATAAAAGCAAAATCACTTAACATTCATTTTTAAATAATTTTTTAGTTTTTCCGAATTTAACAAAAAAATTCTTACAATTTTCTCCGGTCGGCGGTCCGGCGACCGGTTGACGCCGGCGAGGCCGCTCGGCCTCGCCATGGCCGCCGGTCCGGCTGATCTGGGCGAGGCCGAGCGGCCTGGCCATGGCCGCCGGTCGACCTGCGCCGTCGCCCGGTGGGCGGCGGCGAGTCGAAGCCCGGCGGCCCCGGGCGAGGCGCTCGGCCTCGCCCAGTCCTGGGAGGCCGAGCGGCCTCGCCGGGCCGCGGGTCGACCTCGGCGGGGCCGCGGGTCGACCTCGCCGTCTCCCGGCTAGGTGACGGCGAGGTCGACCCGCGGCCATGGCCACCCCGCGCGGCCTCGCCATGGTCGCCTGTCAACCTTGCCGCCATGGCGGCGAGGTCGACCGGCACCTCGCCCAGGTGTGTCCGTCGCAAATTTGCGACGGACGGTCTAGGTTCGTCACAAATTTGCGACGGACCAATTTTGTTCGTCGCAAATTTGCGATGAACGGTCTTTGTCCGTCGCAAATTGGTGGCCGGTCGCCGGTACAACAAAAACAGAAAAAAATATCAATAAAAAAAAAATTCGCATCCAACGACGAATCAGAAGGACAGGACCATATTAGTGGCATGTTTAGTCACGAAATTAGCTACGATACTTACCGGTGGAAAAGCTTCACCGAGATTGATTTCTGGACGCACGGATTATTGAGAGAAATGATAGACGGAGAAGGTGAGAGAAAAGCGGGCGACCTGACGAATCACTACTGAGAGAGAGAGAGAAATTGACGGGTGGGGTGGGGTGCATATCAAAAAATTAATTTTCCGTCACAAATTAGCAGTGAACCCTTTTTCGTTGCAAAATCCGTCGCAAATTGCGACGGATAAAATATTCGTCGCGACGGATAATAAATCCGTTGCAAATTTGCGACGGAAAATTAGTCGTCGCAAATTTGCGACGGAACTAGCGATGGAAAATAAATCGGTTGCAAATTTGTGACGGAAAATAATTCCGTCGCAAATTTGCGACGGATTTATTTTCCGTCGCAAAGTTTGTCGCAAATTAGCAACGAAAATAATCCGTCGCAAATTTCCGTCGCAATAATCATGTTTTTTTGTAGTGCAAGTACTAAAAGCAAAACTAGAAATTCAACTCCAATAAAGATTTGTTGTTGTTTCATGTGCTGGGTCAGTCAAAAGTCCAATTTGTTTAGGAATCTCTCTTTGGATCGGATAATTTTCACGGATTCAGTCTCAAAATGAATTACCCAACGCCACCAAACACACAGCTAAAGCATTCGATTTTCCAGTGTCTTTAGACTAATTACCTGACACGTACATATTAGCATCACACTAGATGGGATGAGATGGGATAGTGGAAATTTAAAATAACTCTATAGTGGGAATATGCGAGCCATGCTAAAGGTCTCTCGCGTGTGGGCCTTTTGTAGCTGGGACTGTTTTAACTTCTGGATTTGGTTTTGACACCTACTCTCTTGCAATATGTCTGAGCTTTTTCGGTATGAATTAGTTTTCCGGAGTTCTGGATGATTGCCAAAGTCGATAGGCCAACCTAACAACTCCAAATTTGCGGTCTGTTAATATTATAAAATCGCATCGTCACTCTCCCGGATTGGTTCTCTTATTTCTAATACACAACCTCTCTCTCTTTCCATAGCAGGATGAGAAAACACTTCACCATCCATCGAAGATTGGTTCGTATGTACGCCCGGTGAGGAATTGTGACGTCCTCCGCGCGCTGAGCTTAAACGTGAGAAGTTGACGATTCAAAAATCGCAGTCCTTCTGGAGCAGGTCAAAGGTGGGGTCACCGCCTCCTTCCTCCTCCCCTCCGAACAAAAACTACTATGGTTTTTGCACGCTCCTGCCTGGACCCATTGTTTTCGAAGCTCCCAACGAACGACAAAATATGTAACGCCACTCTCTAAAACATCGTGGAACATGACCGGGCCCTCGCCGGCCACAGCGGACCTAGGACAGTTGTCATGCGGTTTTTTTCCAAGAAATGTCCAGGGGCTTTTAGATACCCTTTCCAGCGATTAGATACCCTTTCCAGCGAACATGAAACTTCCCTGACTTTTCTAGTTGGAATGTGTTTGCCGTGTCAAAGCTCCCTTTGAGAAAACATTTTTTTATTATTATTTTCAAAACATACATGTTTTGTTCATTATCTTTTTACAACGTACATAACTCTATTATTGCAAATATTGTTCAAATGTTTTTTAACAAAACCCCACGTTGAAATGACTGAATTGTCCTCCTTGCGCACTCATTTAAACATCAAACTTAGTGTTCGGCGGTTTAATTTTTAATTGGTTTTAGGTGATTTGAGCGAGTGAGGGAATTTAGTCTTTGGGAGCGGACATTTTTGGAAAATAGTGGCATTTTGGCTGATAATTGATGCGAATTTGCAATTTTCAAAGGAAATGAATAATGAGGGGAGCGGGAGGGAAAGTTGGCTGGGTCTTATTCTTTACTTAGCCCTTTCCTTTGCACTGTTATCTGCACGCTTGACCTCTTCCGACTTCTGCCAGGAAATAATGATCTCTTCGGAGTTTTGGAGTGTAAACGTGAACAATCCGGGTGAGAGTAGATGAGATTAACCAAACCCCATGAAGCCCTCCATATGTACTGTGGGGACGAGTGGGGACGAATAATTTATTGGATCTGTGGTGTGTATTTAGCCCGGATCAGATGGACTGGACGGTAGTTGAGGAATAGTTCGGAGGGAGTCAGTATGACAATCATTTGGGCCTATAAATACCGGCTCATCTTCAATCGTACAGGTCCATCCCCTTCCTTCTTCTCCGCGACCTCTCTCTCTCTCTCTCTCTCTCTCTCTCTCTCTCTCTCTCTCTCAATCTCGCTACGTAGTACATAAAATGGGTGCAGTTGCAGGTCTAGGCGGAGAGTTCGCGGTGCAGTTGGGCAAGAAAGAAGTGGTGGCGGCAGCACTGCCCATACAAGAGCATTGGCTGTCCCTCTCCAACCTCGACTTGCTCTTGCCTCCGGTTGACGTAGGCGTCTTCTTCTGCTACACCAACCCAACCACCACCACCGCCTCACAGAGGCTGGGATATGGGTCCATGGTTGGCATTCTGAAAGCCGCCTTGGCCCAAGCTCTGGTTTCCTACTATGCTCTCGCCGGAGAGGTGGTCCAGAACTCGGCGGGTGAGCCTGAGCTCCTGTGCAACAATCGTGGGGTCGACTTCATCGAAGCTTTCACAGATGTAGAACTCCGCCATCTCAACCTGTATAATCCCGACGAAACCATTGAAGGGAAACTGGTGCCCACAAAGAAGCGAGGCGTGCTTGCTGTTCAGGTATAGACGTTAGATACGGCCGCACTATATATCGTTTATCCATCTCAAGAGATCAAATCACTGTATATGCTCCCATTTTCATCTTCATTTCACCTAAGCCTCCGTTCATTTCACGGAAAACGTTTTCCCGGAAAACATTTTCCATAATTTCCGGTGTTTGGGGCAGAAAATAAGTGGTTAAAGAAAATATTTTCCGATCAATGAAGAATTTCCTTCTAAGACCAGGGAAAATGATTTCCTTTCTTGAAAGGAAGGAAAACATTTTCCAATCTCCCCTCTTTCTCACGCGTCCTCTCCTCCTCTCTCTGGATTGCTCCTTTTCCCCATCGTTCTCACGCAACCTGGGGTTTTCATCTCCAGAGCCACTCCTCCTCTTCCTCCGGCCGCCTCGCTCACCCAAGGCCGAGCCTAGTCTCGCCTCGCCAGATCCGGCAATGCTCGGCCTCGCCCGAGGCCGCCTCACTCACCCAAGGCCGGCGAGCTCGAGCAAGGCCAAGCCTAGCCTTGCCTCGCCAGATCCGGCGATGCTCGGCCTCATTCGAGACCGGCGAGTCGAGGCCGAGCCTTGCTAGATCTGGCGAGACAAGGCGAGGCCTCGCCCGAGGCTGGTCGCCGGTCACAGTGAGCCTCTCCGGCCTTGGGCAAGCGAGGCCGAGCCTCGCTTGTGGCCAGTCGACGGCCGGTCGCCGGCCAGGAAGAAAGAAAGGGAAAAAAAAAAGAGAAAAGAAATATTAAAAATTCCAAAAATAAGAATAATTAAAAATTCGATTTTTTTAAAGTAGTGTATGAAGGAAAATATTTTCAGTACCGCACAGTGGAAAATATTTTCCAATTTATTTTCATATTTCAGCAGAACATCGGAAAATATTGTTATTTTCCTGGAAAATGACTTCCTAGAAAACATTTTCCAGAAACGCCATATTTTTCGCGAAACGAATGGAGCCTAAATGTACAGTCTTTTTCTTTAACCTTTTATTTATGCATAACCAGCGTCAAACGAAATAGAGTATCCTCTACCTCTAAGTCTATCGGTCGGATTCTCCGACATTACTGAGAACAATTCACAAAATTGGTTTATTCAATGATATTGAAATTCTTTTAATAGGTATTAAATATAAAGCTACATTGTTTAGTATGCGAATTTGACCGATCAATTTGGATACCATTTACCATTGTTCAGAAAGAAGAATAATGTTTGGGCTTTGATCCCGCGTAACATCATGATCAGTGATTACATGCATCAAGGATTTCTCATACGAAACATAACAATGTAGAAAGATTTATTGCTAAATGTTCAAAGGAAAAAGAATCTCACACTTTACACGAGTTACTCTGGTTTATTTATGTGATCATTGAGATCATACATTGACTAGATGCGCCCATAGGGAACAGTGAGATAATAATAGAATGGTACATGAGTGATAGTAATATAGTGATGGAGGAGATTATCATTTTCTTTTTTATTATGGACGGCATTGAACGAATGGAAAAATCTTGCGAGGGTGCACCTCAGGATCAATCATTAATATGTTGAGACCGTAATGTTATGTGTGGGTTATCAGTGCCCTCAACTTGACGGAATCTCTCTTTATGTGGAAGAGGTGGAATCTCTCTTTCACCATCAACTTCAGGGGAAACATGCTGAGACTCTTAAGGAATCTGTCCTCTCTTGTTTTTGTCCTGTGTGAGTCTACATGATGAAGTCATCTCGCTTCTAGAAGCGATTAGTTAAATTAAATGGAGGATTAAAACATAGTTCAGTGGTTGAACTGCCTCGCTGAATGGGCAAGAAAAAACTGTGGTGATGCCGAAAAATTACTAAATGAAGATCAAGTTCGTTTCCACCATTAATCATGTGTACCCATGTTGGGACACATATTATTACTTATTTAAATAATATTGTTCCAGATGGTCAATATTTCATGTGATAAGTTCTCGGTCAAGAATATTTAGAACTTCCCTTAAATTGAGCATTGCTAATATAACAGTTTTTGGGCCAATGTGAAATTAATAATATTGAGCCACAAATTCATGAAGGATTGGATCTCACAATAATTTGTAATTATTTATTTTTTGATCCAAAATGAACTGTTAATTATTTCTCTTTTTTATTTGATGGAAAACATTCAGGCGACGGAGCTAAAGTGTGGGGGGATAGTGGTGGCATGTACGTTTGACCATCGGATAGCTGACGCCCACTCGGCCAACATGTTCATGGTGTTTTGGGCAGAGACGGCTCGCTCCGATGCCCCGATCTCGCTCCCTCCTTCCTTCCGCCGCTCTCTTCTCAACCCTAGGCATCCGCTCTGCGTTGACCGTTCTCTAGACAGCATGTACATCCCAGTCTCCGCATTGCCCCCACCTCCCCCGCAAAAGCAGAAGGCAGATGAGGAATGCGAGACGCCGACATCGAGGGATGACGACTGTCTGGTAAGCCGCATGTACTATGTGACCGCCGCCAAGCTAAGCGAGTTGCAGCAGAGGGCCTGCTCCAACGGAAGCAAGAGGTCTAAGTTGGAATCGTTCAGCGCTTTCCTTTGGAAGATGGTGGCGGAATCCTCCTCGGTTGCTACTAATGATGACAACAAGACGATGTCGAGGATGGGGATCGTGGTGGATGGCAGGTGTAGGTTGATGAGTCAGGGCGTGGACGACAAGCCCGCACCCATGGCGTCCTACTTTGGGAATGTGCTGTCGATACCATTTGGAGAGAAGAGGGCGATGGAGGTGGTGGAGAAGCCGTTAAGCTGGGTAGCGGAGGCGGTGCATGAGTTTGTGGAGAGTGCGGCGACGAAGGAGCACTTCCTGGACCTGATAGACTGGGTGGAAGAGCACCGGCCAGTGCCAGCGGTGGCAAGGATATACTGCAAGCCCAGGAGCGAGCAGGAGGAGGAGGAAGGATCGACGGCGTTCGTGGTGTCATCGGGACAGAGGTTCCCGGTGACCGAGATGGACTTCGGGTGGGGGAAGCCAGTGCTGGGGTCCTACCACTTCCCGTGGGGAGGGGAAGCCGGGTACGTTATGCCGATGCCCAGCCCGCTCTCCAACGGCGACTGGGTGGTCTACCTCCACCTCTCCCGGTCTCAGGTGGCCTTCATTGAGTCCAAAGCTCCCACCGTCTTCAGGCCTCTGACCCCTCACTATCTTCGCCTTCTTTGATTCTTTTTTCTTCTTCGTCGTCGTCTGTATGTACCCTCATGGGTCTCATCAACCCTGTCGTTCGTTGCTGTTTGTCCTATTTGATTAAAACCTTATGTTCCTCGTGTATTTTCTTACTGGATCCTCATGATATCACTTACTCACTGTCGTCTAATGTCATAAGCAATTTGACCAATGCGGACATTTTGAATCGCTCATTATATGTGAACGTGACAGAAACCTTATGTACGGGGGAGTAAGTTCTCCTTGCAACACAAGATAAATTACAAACAAATATACAAACCACATAACATGTGTACCATATAAAATTTTGATCTGTAGTTAATAGCATGATCATGGATGAAAGATAGGACAAGATTCAAGAGTGTATACGAAACACATAGTAATTTAATTAACGATGTCAGGCCATAACCATCCGAAATCAGTCGAATCTCATCAGGCTTCCACATTGCGCCATGGTCGGTGATTTGAGAATGAAATATATTAATGTTTCCTGGTTCCTGTCTTCTTCCTTTAAACTGGTTCGAGTTGGGTCCTAGTACTTCTCTCTCGTGAAAATATTTTGTCACCGTATGTCTGATTCAACCATGAACCTAACATTATTGGTTGGTTTATTCGGTTGGTTAACAAAAGACTCCGTGCTAGCAGTTAGACCACATGTACGCACATTGAAACTTCGGGCACTTTTTATATAGTAAAGCTATCTCTTCAATGAACAGTATTCAACTCCAGGCTGTTAACATTAAAAAGCTGACTACGATTTGGAAGGAATCGAGAACATAAAAAATGGGATCGAGGGTTATAAGAATGACTAATTATGTCTTTTTATTAGACCTTAGCTTTAGCTTTCTTTTTTGTGTTAGACTTGAAACAAAACCAAAAAACAAGAGCACGATACCCGTCATCATCGTTTCTATTGGCTCTATCCTCGAGAGCAGCCACAATTGATTGTTTTCAAGAGTAGCACTATTCGAGGTCCCGTATATGCTCTAATTGTCCCCGAAGGCGACTCTGTCTCGTGAATCACGTTGGTCTCTCCTTCACACATCGGGGGGTGTTCCTTTCGGGTGTCCAAGCCAGTCTTGTCGTCGGCATTATTGTTCTCGAAGTACACCACAAGTCAAGCTTATTCCTTTGTCTGGGACCAACTTGCCCTGTAAGCCTCCTTACACTAAAGAAGGGATGTGGATAAATTTAAGCGGATTTAAGACAAGTCATGAAGATACACATCGTCACAAAGTTGGCACATCTTCTCACATGAACATGATATAACCATGTGGAAACCATTTTAAATTGCAGCAAACTAAATTGCATTATCCCACGGTGCTCAACTTTAGTTGCTCGATCAAGATGTGCTCGATTTAGACACTCACCTGTCTAGACATTTGACGATGGCTTCGCTTGTCTATGATGCTCGCAATTGTAAGAGAGCCCCACAATGAATAACATCCACGGTAGATGTGATTAAGCGTTTATCAAAATTGGGGAAGTTTTTAATGAGATCAGAAGCTTGATTTTGATGGAGAAGTAGAACCAATGACCATGATCGAGAACTTTCGTATGAGAGGGGTGCAGAAGAGGAAACATATTGGCTATCACAGGCATTATCAAATGAAATCGAACTCATCTGAGATCTGTTTGAATATTTAAATAATAAATCACACTTTCATGTAACAACTTAAGCTTTTAGAACAGTTGGAATCTCACATGATATCAAAGCAAGAGGTCTTAAGTTCAAATCTTTATAGGCCCTTATTTGTCTCCCCAATTGCAAATTTCTATGTTTTAGACTTAATACAAAGTCCAGCCTACATTCAAATTATAACATACGTGTGAGGGGAAGTATTAAGTTTAAACTTTTAGAATAATTAGCAGTGGTCTCACAAAATCGATCCCCTTAATTTAACCAGTAAGCCGGCTTACCCAATAATTGCTGGCAAAAGAGAGCCTCCTGTCTGAATTGGAAGCGTCCTCTGATTCTTTTGCATACGGTATTCTTTCAACGATCCCTTTCCATGTTTTTGGTGTTTTTCTTCTTTGTCCTCGCTCTCTTTTTTTCATGAAAGGGACTTGTGCCATTAGTTTCATTCTTCGGTAGAGAACACAAAATTACCTTTCCGATATTAGTTATTGGTCATCGAAAAGTTTAAGGATAGGCTTATTGACGACGTAATTACAACACGCGGTCTCCTTCCTTCCATCCATTTACTTAATGTTTTTGTTGGAAATTCTAACAAAGCTAACAATCTTCAAAATTTTACAAGTGAATTGTGGCTTCTATTTCAGTCTATAATTTCCCGCACAAAGATGTTCACCAAATAGTTTCTTTGTTGTTCACCCAGCAGACGACTATTTGTTTTGGAGTGACACCTATTGGGATGTAATGCATAAATCCCATCGGCAGAAAGGTATAGAATCCCACTCCCCGACGAGCGAGCATGGTTGCAAGGGACCGCCCCAGGGAGTAACTCTCCCGAACAGCTGGAGGGCTTTTATAGTTTGGACCCGTATTTTATTGATAATTTGGGTTTGGACCCATGAATAGTTAGTGAGTAGTCTAGAGTTTTATCGACTCTTAGGGTTTTCTTGTGTCACTTATATATAATCTCTCTTTTTTTTGGTAATATAAAGTTGTAACAAAGCAATGGGAAGTGATAATTATAGTGGAATCCTTTACTCGATATAGCTCTAGTCTAAAGGTGAACCAAGATAAAATCTTGTGTCTTGATTTCTCTTTCTCGCATTTACTCCATATTTCGTTATGTTTGTACACCTAATCCGAACATCACCAAATTGCATTAGTAGAAATGTATTTTATACATTTGGGATAAGTCAATGTTGTATGATATCCCTTAGCCAATGCTTTGTTGTCATGATCCGCATTGAGTATGATAATGTTTAAGATTGCGAAACACGTAATGGGGTTGATAAAGTCACATTAGCAGGATATTATTTGATTGGGTACACTTAAAAGGGTTGCTGGAAACCCGACTAATGATCACGACCTACCACGGCTGACTTCAAGGCTTGGAAGCATTTGTTCATTTTCATACCTTTCTTTGTCAATGCACATCACGAATAGTAATTGTCTGCTTCCTGACATTTTCTACAGCAAGGACATTAATGTGGAAATCATGGGACATTTCTCTTTCGTCGCGGTACTCCCCTCGTCGTCGTGTCGATTCAGAAAGAAAGAAGCCGACACATCAATTTCGAGTTGACGTCGACGGCATCATATGTGGACTATTCTTGCCCGGAAGCATATTGCAGCCCTGTAACAGTTGGAGGATGTCTTTCACGAGGACAATAGTTAATGTGCCTGATAGATCTGATATCTTTGAACATCAGAATTCCAAATTGTAAAATACCCGCTGGATAAAGTGGGTTAGATAATTCAATCTTGGCGGGAACCGTGCGGGACGTCATAGGGGGTGGGATCTCTGGAGGTGAACGGAGTCCATTACAAAATGGGGGACAATGACCTCGGAAAGTGAAGATGACACGGACATATTGACTCGTTTTTTTCTCACCAACCCTTTTGGCAGCAGTTCGGTCGGCGTTCTGCTCCGAGCCAACAACCAGGAAGCACCAATCTCTCCAGGCCACATTGTGTTGGGGTTGGGATTACTATATAAAATGCAAATTAGTGCACCTCTCTCCGCGACTTCACATAATTTTGGTTTATATTCTATGCCTAAGGACGAGAAAAGATATTGAGACTCATCCCGGGTTCTGCGACTTTATTTGCAATCGTTCAAGTGGTTCAGCTGGGGACGGGCTAACAACTCTCAGTTGCACTGACTTATGTCATGCATTTGCAAGAAAGATGTCATCTTCGCACCAATCACAGCAGTCCCAACTGGGAAAATTCAAAGGACAACAACCTAATAGAAACATAGTTTAGTACCGCCTATCACATCAGGAGTGTGCTTTCCAAGTGGTTTAGGTTGCGATTAAACTTAAATTACCACGAACCTTCTAGCCATTTTCCCCCGGGTAGGTGTAGGACAAATCTACCCCAACTACTTAAGGTATAAAGAAACTAATTAAAGTAATCTCATCCGTTATTAAAAAAGTATGCGGGAGAAAAGTTATTCATTTGCAAATTTTGAAACACGGCGATAGATATAGGTCGATTGGTACGTACGGCATACAAAATGTTGGTGAATTTCATATTTACTGCTACACGATATACTCATTGAGTAATAGGGTATGCAATTTAGGACAACTCTGACATGATAGAATCAGCTGTTAATTAAGATCATCAAATATTGCCCCACAGCAACGGTGACCAAAGGATGCACTCTCTCATCAATCGCGAGGTGAGAACTCTCCTGCATAGGCCGGTGAAGAAGAATCAGCCAACACCTTACCGCGAAAAGAAAACTCAACCTATAATAGCAGCCGCCGGTGGATCTAGATCATGTTCCGCTGTATTGACCTTGTCAGCCATATCCACTATCCAGATAAGATATGTTTGAATAGATAGGAAGCGAAGAATTCCCAGCCCTCCCTCTCCAATAATAACCCATCTTGCGGCTCAAACACGCTTGCTTTTGCAGCCCCTCGACTCTGATGTATAATTTCTCTCCGCTGTGTTAGGTATGGTGTAGATTAATTAAGTAGGAAGAGCGATGTATCATGCCATGCACTGTGATAACGTTATAACTTATAATACGCCGGGGGGAACCCAATGATGATCTGATGGAGAGTTGTGTGCTCTGGTGTGCTGACACTGGAGTCAAACTACAACTGATTCTTTTGGTAATTGCGTTACGTATGGGTCTTCTACTTGTTCAACTGTCAAATGGGTTCAAAAAATGACGCCCTCTTTGCCACCAGCGAGAACTGGTGCGCAGACATTGATTTTGACCAATCTCTGACACTGGCGGTTGGTGTATGTCGTAGTCCCAAATGGCTTTTACCCATTAATACCAGATGTTTGAGACTTCAATCTTTATATGCGTACTGAATTATGGGTGAATGATTAGGTCAAACAATGAGATGAAACGATGCTGAACAACCTCTTCTATCCACCTCTTCGGGCTTGGCCAATGGTCCGGCCATCCTCACCATGCTCACATGAAGCTGGTAGGCGATGCCTCCAGTTTTCCAAAGATACTCGATTAGATTCATCTGTCGAGCTAAGTGTTGGCAAGCTCTAACTTAATAAGA